CGTAACTCGAGCTTTGGTTTATTTTTAGAAATAACTCTATTCACATTGTGACTGTAAAATACAGATTAAATATAATTCAATGTTTATTTACACAGATAACACAATGTATAAAAATTAAATCGTCATGTTTTGTTGTTAAAAAGAATGAATTAATGAACTTAGTACAAATATGGGCAAACCAAAGATAATTAACATATAAGTATGTAGATATACAGGGTGACTGGTGAATTACTATCGATACTTGAGGACGTGATATTTGACGATCATATATGACAAAATAAAAATTAATATAACATAAATATTAATAAACTTCTAAGTAAAGTTAACCAAAAGTTATGTAATTAGTTACGCATCGTGTGAACACCCTACAGATTAGGTATACACGCACACACACACGTGCGGCGGCGTGGTGTTGTATCAGCACGCCGCCGCACGCGTCCACACTTGGAACACTTGGAACGTGTCCACACTTTATTTATTTATACGGAAAATTGGTCAAAAATTAAGTACCTATTATTTTACAAAATTCGAATGAGAATCATGTACCGAGTATTCTCCTTAAATATTGATAGTAATTCACCAGTCACCTTGTATATCGGCGCTATCAGCTTTAATAACGGATGCGACATGGGAATAAGTTGAGGCTGTCATCAATTCTTATTAAAAATTATTAGTATTCATGATTATTGTTAAAAGTAAAACTAAATCAAAGATTGTTTAAAACGAGAATAGAACTATGTTTGAATCTTGGTATAAATATGACGTCTGGACGCACGATGGCAGAGTTGAGACTTCAGTGAGTGGGGACCATTGAAGTATGTGATTATGAAGAACCTTCGAGAAATACATTAAGAACAATTGAAGTTTCATTTGAAAATATTATGGAACGTTCTAGAAGAAGTGACATTTGTAAAGTCAGCGAGGATGGCGTCTCTCTCTTTAAAAACAACGAATCTGAATAAATCCGATATATACCTAATAAACACCTAATTAAAAATATTCATATAACTTATAATTTTTTTTTATGAATATTCAAAGAAGTTATTTAATTATTAAAATATTAAAACAACATGCATAATTGTGATAAGGCACAATCAAAAGATATTTATTTTTGTAAACTAAAGATCTATTCGTAAATCAAACGAAGAACAATAGCAGTATCCAGATAGTCAGCAATTTATGCAGATGTAACCGGAGAGAACTAGCAAACATCACAATTAGTGTACACAGATAGAGCAATCAGGATCGGTGTCCGAAATACTAATATTCCTATATTTCTCTCTACGAGTTTCTATATAGAGTTAAATAAAATAAAAACTAATTATTATTACGACTTTATTTAGTAACTAGCTGACCCGACAAACGTTGTTTTGCCATATAAAAAAATAGAGGTTGGTGATAAAAAAGTAAATATTTAGGGTTGTATGTATTTTTAATGCCACATTATAACAAAAAATATCGTCCACGAATTAAAAAAAATATTTTAGTGGTGTACAACCCTTATCATTTAGAGGTATGAAAAATAGATAGTAGCCGGTTCTCAGACCTACTGAATAGTGAATACGGATATAAAATTTGGTAAAAAACAGTAAAGCTATGGAAATATTATATAGTAGATAAACATTTCATCGAATTTCTTATTGACTATATAGTATCTTACGTACATAGATATTATATTTTATAACAGAGTGACATATAAATTATAGTTATTCTGTTTATTGTAGTAATAAGCCATGTTTTCATCTTGGTACTTGGTATTAAAATTTAATTGTCTTAATTTTACTAGAACGAAACATACATATCATAACATATGCTCAATAAGGTAATGCGGTTTCAAAATATGCTTTAATATTCTTATAACTGCATAAACTTGTATAATATGTTCATCAAATAATAAAACAAAGGAATTTCCATACTGTTAAATGCTAAAAAAGTAAAGCTTTAAAGCGACATCTTTTATTTGTTTGTTATATAAGAATTACTGCTTGGAAGTGCCATCTACAATTTACTTGATAAACATATTTTTTCTAGAATTTGTCTTAGTTTCCTTAAAAACTATAAGATGGCGGGTCAGACAACTAATTAGAATATATCAGGACTGCCAGAACAAATTAGTTTTCTAAATCCTAAAATATCAGTCAGTGGTGGCCTAGTGGTTAAAGGATCCGCCTCTCGTTGCCGAGGGCACGTGTTCAAACCTGGCCAGTACCTATGTGATTTTTCGGAGTCGGTGAAGGAAAACATCGTGAGGAAACCTGGACTTATAGTTTCACGATTATAAATTTGAAATCACTAACCCGTCTTGAGCAAGCGTGGTGATTAATGCTCAAACCTTCTCCATGTAAGAAAGAGGCCTTGCTCAGCAGTGGGCGCTGATAGGCTGATGACGACGACGACGACGACGAAATATCAGAATTAAGTCTAAAATGTAAATAGCCATCAGAGTAAGGGAGATCTTTTTCTATCTATAATCTAGACACGCAGCAGTGTGTGAAACTAAGTTCAATTAATGCACTGACTAACCAGCACTGAATGTATCTTAACATGAACTAGTGGTGCTACTTTTCACCCTTCTATAGATGAAACCAAAACCTCTTTAACGTAAACATATAAAACTGCGTCTGCTTAATTATATAAATAAGGACATGTAGTAGCTCAAGTTTCATGAAACTAGCTTTAACTATTACAAAGATTATGAATGAATGAATGAATCGAAAAGTCGTCAACTTAAGCACTGACTGAGATATAAGTACCTACTTAAATCTAACCTAGTTCCAGTTGACCTGGAATGATCAAATTTCCAACCAGCCCGATAATTGTGTGTAAACGTAGAAAAAAAATCGTTATATCAATCAAGTAATAAAGTCATTCAACATGTCAATTCGTACAAAAATTTGTCAAGTCAGTTCTAACCTGTAAAAAAATGTCACAATTTGAATTACGACAATTGTTACAGGTCACCAACAAAACAAGCAAACAGAATTTCATACTGGTTCATAATGTTGTTTTGTTTTTAGAAACAAATATTTAAATTGTGCATATAAAATTGTATTCATTTATATCTCGATTTTTTTTGCATCGAAGCCCACAGTCAAGCATAATTTTTGAACTGAACTTATCTCTCGCTTTTAATATTTAGCTTTTTAGTCGGAATTGATTTATACTTTAATTAAAAAATCATTTGTTACTGAAATAATACAAGGAAACTGGATAATGTATTGCTATTCTATATTTGTTACAGACCTGGCTTTAATGTTAGCCTCTATCTACTGTTTGTTAAGCGGTGAGAGGGCGAAGGATGCTACGGACAGTGACTTTACATTCACAGGATATTTGAAAACAAATAAATCTAAATTTTAAAATATCAAAAAATATATATTTACCAGAGATGAAAAAGAATATTCAGTAAAGCTGTTTAAGTTAAAATTGAAATGTGTAAAATGTATGTACATTGTTACTCAACTATTTTCAATATACTTAAATACGAATTTATAACAAAATATATTTTCCAAAAAAAATATCGTAGTTTGTAGTAGACTTTGACACTATTTTAAATAAATCATTTCTCATAACCATTCCCCACAGGCCACAAGTAAACAATCATGAGTTAATAGAACTTAGTAAGTAGGTTCATAATTAATTAATTTAGGGTTAAAGTATGAAAAAAAACGAAAAAAACATTTAAAAAAATTAAACAAAACTATTTTATCTTTTGCAATACTAAATATAAAGAATTTCGTACTGGAACTTAAAAAAATATACAGGGTGACTGGTGAATTACTATCGATACTTGAGGATGTGATATTTGACGATCATATATGACAAAATAAAAATTAATATAACATAAATATTAATAAACTTCTAAGTAAAGTTAAGCAAAAGTTATGTAATTATTTACGCATCGTGTGAACACCCTACAGATTAGGTATACACTCACACACACGCGTGCGGCAGCGTGGTGTTGTATCAGCACGCCGCCGCACGCGTCCACACTTGGAACACTTGGAACGTGTCCACACTTTATTTATTTATACGGAAATTTGGTCAAAAATTAAGTACCTGTTTTTTTACATAATTCGAATGAGAATCATGTACCGAGTATTCTCCTTAAATATTGATAGTAATTCACCAGTCACCCTGTATATTAAAAACAAAACACTAAAATAATCCGCATCTCTGACTTATAAACATTTTTTTTAAAACAACATATGTATGCGTTCCATATTCTTCTAGACGAATTCTTCTAGACGAATATTCGTCTGAGAAAAATACAGTGTTCATTTTAAACAATACCTATTACACGTCGTGGTAATGTTAAGATATTGTATGTATATATCTTGTGAGTTAGGAACAACATGCTTTATCAAATAATTGAATCATGACGAACTGATTCACGTTTGGAATCTTCCTTCCAGTGCCGCTCACATAAAAAAAAAAATTGTAATAAATAAAACGGTTGTAATTACTAAAAAAAACTTTTATTTTCACTACGAAACTATGTTTTATATTTTGTTTCTAAATCCAAAGCTTTAATTTCTTAAACAAAACTCATTTTTAATCTATGAAAAACCACAGATTAAAAATTCAAGTCAATACTAATGAAATGTCGGAATAGGTACCGATCTGCCGGCTGTCTACTTGTTTAGGCTTTAGATGTAGAAAACTAAAGTTATTGGAAAATCCTTTTATAATTAACCTGCATATTCTATACCCCGGTGGTTAAAGATAGTTCAGTATTACTAGAATATAAAAGGCAAATCACTTGGAGGCCAGGTATGTGATTATTATTTATTTACCACATCCATTAGTATAAACATAAACATTTTAAGGTTACTTAAAACTCTTAAACAGATTGTTATGATGAACAAAGTTAAATAATATTAATGAACTTGTCGTTATAATGAAAAGTGTTCAAGATGTAGATTAATTCAATTGTCAAAAATAATTTCTTTGATGTGCCTGTGTCGTGTATGAACAAACAACATTAACGATATTGCAGAATGTCGAATGATACTGAGGCTCCGCTACCCGAAGGATGGGAGATGAGAACCAGTCGTTCCACTGGCATGACTTACTTCCTAAACATGTACACTAAGAAGTCTCAATGGGAACGGCCTGAGGTTCCCGCTGAGCCTGGCGAGGTGCGATGTAGCCACATCCTCGTGAAACATTCAGACAGCCGGCGCCCTTCATCTTGGAGGGAGGATCACATAAAACGGACCAAAGAAGAGGCATTGGATTTAATTAAGAATTACCGCAAGCAGATTGTGTCTAACGATGCTTCATTCACCGATGTCGCTATGAAGTGTTCAGATTGTTCCTCTGCGAAGCGTGGAGGAGATTTGGGAATGTTCGGCCGTGGTCAAATGCAACAAGCTTTTGAAGAGGAAGCCTTTAAATTAAAGGTCGGACAGCTGAGCAAACCGATTGAAACCGAGTCTGGCTTCCATATTATACTACGAACTGTTTGAACTGTATTTTTCTCTCATATTTAGTTGTCACTCACTGTACAGTGATACCAAAACTGAGATAGATGTTAATAAAATTTTTATTTTATTTCACAAATTCTGTACTATGGTTCCATTGAAGGAAATAAAGTTATTTTACTTTATGTATCTCAAAATGCTTTATAATTTTCATACTTAATCAAAGCCCGTACCAAAACAACATACTTTTGATGAATGTGTTATCAAAAATTAATAAATTACATACTCGGAGTTAAGAGTTTTGTGTGAAAGAATTAAATATTTCAAGAAATATTATTTTTTCTTTGTTCATCATAACAATGAAATATTAATAATTTTGAGCTTACTTTATTTAATTACAAATTTAATGTTTTGCATTACACACATCACAAGAGCATTTGTATCATTTAACAAATATATTTAGATGAAAAACTCACAGAATAATGAGAAATTATATAGGGTTCTTCTTCTTCACTTCCATATATCTATAGTTTATATTGAAATACTTTGAATCCTTAAGAATTTAACTCAGTCGATATATTAAAATGTAACAAGCTCCTCGTATATTATGAAATATCCTGTTACTATTCCATTGTTTTATTAAAATTCTTTGTTGGTAAATTCAGTAAAAATAATATAGTATTTATTTTTACATTAAAAATGTAACAGTTAATAAGGTGATACAGAATTAAGATTAATAAACAATTTTATATATAAAGGAAATGAAACAATGATTAACACATTGAGATGTAGCTATGTATTAAGGTCACCAAAGTTACTAATAATACATTACACCCAGGAACAATTTACTAATAATTAATAAACATTTGCATAACACAACATATTATGTATGTCTTTGACAAATCCAGCCATTTTGTCATAGACAGTAATTTTTTGCAGACTTTACTCCCAAATTAATATATGGCACATGAAATCTAAATCCTTATGAATATTCGTTTTTTTTTGTTCAAGTTTTAAGTCAATCTGTAATCATCAATGTGCCATGTGTCCAATTTACAACATTTTTACGGTGTCGTCGTCTTGATTATTTCGAATCAATACTATCGTGTCCAAGGTGGATTCTTTGATATCTTGAGATGCTGGTGTCCAGATCGGCCCTATGATAGGAGGAGATCTTTTACCACCCCAAGCGCTGAACTTCACTTTACGCTTGCCATCTTTCTTCAAATGAACATCCAGGTAAGCGTGACCGGGTTTGTACATTTTGGGTATTGTCTCCATAAATGTGTTGAAAGGTAGAGCATCCCTTAGCGTCCTTTCATCCATTTTCGTGTTTAGAGCTAAAATTTTAATAGGATGTCTTTTATCTGGTGACGGTATAAATTGAAGACCGGCCATGTTCAGGCGGTTGCCGTTTGGTGAGTAATTTGATACGATCCGAGTTAACTCTGGAACTGATGCAGAAAATATAACCTTGGAGCCTTTAGTACCTGGCTTGTATATCATCTGACCGGATCTCTTTCCTCCCCAGGGACTAAAGCGAACTCTTTTAGGCATACTGGGCTCACGGATGCCGGCTGATTTCTTCCAAGTCCACATTTGCTCAACAATATTTGGTCTATTTCGCTTACCGCCCCATGGGCTAAAACTCCTCTTCTCTAAGGAATTAGAAGTATCTGTGTTGTTTTTTTCATTTGAAGTGTCTGTATATGCATGAACAACGAACGGTGTTCTAACACCGAATGTGTCGCTAGGTAGATATATAGTTTTATCGCTGTCTATTAAATTAGGCTGCCAAGTCCGTTCTTTGGCATTTTTATCTTCATCTGTTGTTCTTCTCATCCTTTTTGCATCGAGCGATTCTAGATCCTGTTCAGAAAATTGATCGCGGTCCATATTTTCGTTGTTTTGTAAGGTTTCCATGTTGTTCCTTGGCGTCAGCACGTTGAAATAGTTGACATACGGTAATGGCGGGTAGTGGATGGTGGAGTCCAAAGGATCCATCAGAGTTTCAGCGTCTGTCCCAGCAGTGTTTATATATTGAAGGCTGGCGAAGCCGAACCAGGAGAAAGCAATGAAGATCCAGTAGAATGCCATTGCTCTGGAATTAAAACACATATTTTTAAAATCTTATTAGAATTATTTAAAGTTACAAAAAAAATTCAATGATATAAACAAGAGTTTTAGATACCTACTAATGCAAGCAATGAGAAAAGTTATGTAAAAGTATTTTTGCATAAACTAATGAAGTTTTTTAACCCTTTTGTGGAATATAAAGCATTTAGCTAACTTTAATTGAAACCAGAATTATATGAAAACTGTGTCTTATAAAAAAATTATCTTTACAGACTGAATAAAAATATAAAGGTATAAATAATAATGGTCGAGTGTGATTTTAGGACTTTTGCTATAAAATTATATCTTCTACTTTATGGTAGGATGTAAGGGCCCAATGGATTAGATAAAAATACGAAATGAACTCAAATGAGTTAATATTTTTTAATAATGCCATATACTATTATATAGATATAAATTTAGATAGAAGGTATGCATTTCTTCAAGTAGGTAGATAGACTAATACATACAATCTATAAGATGTAAATGCTGCCCTTGGGATTAGATAATTGTAAAAAAATAAATTTTGCCGTAACACTTCCTATGTTGCAGTTAATGGTGTGAATCAGAAAAATTCAAACATGTAATATTAAAGAAAACAGCCTTTTTAATGAAACTGTAGCTTGTAATTTATGTTAATCCCAATTCCCCTTCGTCACTTCGAAGGCGGTTGAAAAAAAATATAATTGTTGAGAAGAAAATAAAAATAACAAAGTGTCTTAGTCCCTTAAAGACATCTTATTAAATTATTTATAACAGTTCTCAACGGTCCATCGCCTTTCCATTTATTACACTAAAAATGATATTTTCCTCGGCATCCCTTTGACGTTTTTCTTTCGGGTTCTCTGTAAATATTGACGATTTTAATGCCTTAGTTATTTCAAATGGCACTCTAGTAAAAAATGTGCTGCCTAGTCTAACATTTTCAGTTTCGTTTATTATTATTATCTTTTAATAGGCGAATAATTCAACTTATTTTTATAGAAAGTCGCTGCTATTTAAAAAAATAAAAATAAATTAATCCTCTTTGTGTAGGTGTGTATTAGTTAGCGGGTATGTTTTATGAAGATTGTTTTTATCAATTATTATTGCAAATCAAAACTGCATATCTTAATTAGGTATGATGAGAGATGAGTATGTATTTTCCCCTATATTTCAATTAAACCTAAGATAGATTTCAACTATTTTAAAATGTCGTGTTCATACTATAATAGTATGATTTTTTTACATGTGATTCGACATGATATGAAATATTGTTAATCCGTTTCTTAGAAATAGTCCAGAATACTTAATTGGTGTAAGATCAAATCTCGTGGGGACTGAATCCTGCACAAATAATATACTTTTAGTCGGAGCTTTTGACACATTTAACTAACCATATAGATTCTTGAACGTCAACATGTTATACATTAATATGTGTTTTAAGAAAATTGACTAATGATGGCATCTAAGATTTTCGCGAGTTTGATGTGACGGTTGCTGTAATGTAGCTGAAACGTCGAGAGTATGTAGTTTTTTTACAAAAATAAAGTCGCGTACTATATCCTAAGAATATTAGTTTCATTTAATTGACTAATGATTTTATCGATAATTGTTTATAAAGCAACCACAACTAATCGCGCCACAAACAATCATAGTTTTAATATTGCATGTACCAGCCGGGATTGCAAGCTTACAGACGAAATTAGGAACGATTGTCACCGGTTTAACCTATGCTGTAACAAATGAACAACATTTCTGAACTATAATTGAATTCTACCTCTACTTAAACAATGACTAACTCCCTTGTTTTTGACACATTTAACACAAATAAAATTCAAAGTGATCTTTGAAATGTATAATTATTGAAAATTTCAATTACAACAAAGCAAATAATAATGATAGAATTATATAATTATTGTAATTTTCTCATCAGATTAAGGTCAGTTAATTCAAAATGAAAGGAACCTCGAGATCGTCTTGTTTAACGCCAATCAACGAACTCTTTGATCTCATAGAAACGATTTGTTGTCACTTTGTTAATTGAAAAGCTTTATAATATTTAATGCGAATTGTAATTTTTAATATAAAAACCTAGTAATATGACACACATTATAAACGTAACAAGCAGGTATTACAAAACGATAGGAGGATACCGAAATTTAACCGAAAGTATTAAAATGTTAATGCATTAGTCCTATTCATTATACTAACTTCAATCTCAATATTACTACACTTTTCAGTAATACCTTTACATTTTACAGTATTTGTATGTCACTTTTGTCAAGAGATTAAAATGCTTACATTGTGAAGAATCAGGAAACAGATGCATGTATGTGTGAAGTTTGATACTTGAGCATTTATAAAGTAATTACCTATACCTTGTTATATTAAATTGTATCTTCGTGAAATATTCAACAATAGAGATGAATAGATTTAGATATCTTTATACGTCTTCCTAGATCTGATGTCAGTGAAACGTCTTTACATTTTTAGTTACACCAAATGCCATACGTACATACTCGTACATGAATAAGGTGTAAAATCCACGTAATGACTTTCCCTATTTCACCAATAGATATTCTCATTTGAACACAGCCAAATTATTTTTATAAATATAAATAATTCATGGGGTTTATGTGTTAAACTTAAGGACTTTATTCAAATTTACTTATCAGACTTCAAAAATGAAGAATTAAGTTGCTATTTTCGTAAACTATCAGGTATATTAAATTGGTTAAAATTTTGTTAAGAACAAAAACTAGTATGAAAACCTAAATATGTATTTTTTAACAACGCCTAAATAATCGTAATTTAAATGGTAAAATCGTAATAGCAAATAAGGATTTTGCTTTTAATTAATGTTTTCGTCAAAAGTGAAAGAAAAATGGTTTAGTTTGAGATGTTTTTTATTTGAATATATTACTTACTACAAAAATGTTAGTATCTAGAATGACACATGTTTATACGTATTAACTGTTGATAGATGGTTTTCTAAATATAATTAATCATAACTGAATAAAGATCAAGAGACTCGTGAATTAATAAAATACGTCCTTAATAATATTAAATTGAAAAACTCTGTTTACTGTTAATTTATAATACAAAAATATATAAATTATTTAATAGTTCTAAATTTTTCTCAGGTTTCATGTGATGAGAACGCATATATAAAATACTTTAATAAACAATTAATTGTACTGAACATGTTCGCATTCGAATATAAATGTACTACATATATTATATACAAAAATATATGTAAGTATTGAATATTCTGAAATGACATAAAATTACCAGAAATATTACAAAATCAAGTTTCAATTTTCTATATCATTCAGTAGGTATCCATAAAAATGCTATTTACTATCAATAAGTTTATTATAAGTTTGGAAGGTAACCAAAAATCTAATATAATAAAATTGTCTCAAAAGTAATGATTAAGGGGTCAGTCCCTTACATTTTCATAACTGATAAAGGTTATTTATCAGATATAGAGCAAGTCTTCAATAACAACCCCAATGATATTGTTCGACTACAATGAAATGAGGTATGTACTACGAAATAATATATATTCTTAACTATTACTAACTAATCAATGAAATTCCCTTTATTATAAACTGTATTATTGAAAATGAAATGGTTTTCTACTGTTGTTCTTCTTCCTGGCAATTTCCCAGCTTTAGCCAGGGTCTGCCTTAAATTTAAATTGGGTTTCTACTGTTATAAATTAACATTTGTATAAGTCTTGATATAAGTCTTTATTGTGAAAGTTTATTAGTTAAATCGTATTCCGATAATTTAATATTAACATTTTGCTGGATTTTTCTTAAAATTAAGAATAATAGGAGGTCAGATTAATCCAAAAAAAAACATAGTTATGTAATTAAGGGAATCTTAGATATCTTTATATCAAAAGATATGAATGTACAAGGCTTCACAATCCAAGATTAGGTCGAACAATAATTTGCTAATTCTATTATAATATAGTATGAAATAAAGGAATTATATTTAGTTGCAAACCTTTTACGTATTTAGACAGTATATTTTAATATTAAAATATTTTTTCATACGTGATTTCCGTAGCTTTTTGTTAAGTCTACGTCGTAGTAAGTAGAAAAAGTCGTTTGCTTAGTAAAAATTAATTGAAACTAAAATAGATTTTTATTGTCATACGGTTTTGCTCTAAATAATACTAGAACCATATTTAAGATTTTGATACATCGATTATTTCTTTATTTAATCATATAATACTAAATTTAGAAGGATATTCTATATCAAAAAAAAATTAATATCTTAATAAAATTTAATGAAGTAATATATAAATTAATTTATTTAACATTAAATCTACTCAGTAATGTATATAGCACTAATATGAGTATAATTTAATAATGGTCGTTAAATATGAAATATAATGTTGAATTTAATTTAGTTAAAAATTCTAATAATAAAATGATGAATTGAAAAATATTCTAAAATATGATTTTCGGTATTAATAAAATTCTTTCTATATATATTATCAAATCAACTCACCCCAGGTTACAGCATTTCATAACACAGTATGTAATGATGTATAAATTTATTATAATCAATTGCTAGCAATGTGAACGGCTCGACAACCAGATATGTTATGGTGGGATGCTGCGGTCCAGCGTCTTATATACCCGCTCAGTACCGTCCGAACTAACGCATTCTACAAACAGCTTTTAGGGATGATTTGTTACAATATTATATTACATTATATGTGCATATAAAATATTTAAATACTACATATATTTTTCAACCCATAACAAAATATATATTTATTCTACTTTATGATTATGTTTTACGTTTTTTTCATATGATTTGAGAAACAAAATTAATATTATATATGAATATTATAATGAAAATGATATGAAAAGAAATTGTTAGATAAAAAAATTATTTTCGTTGATTAAAGAATGTTGGTGTTTATTAAATGCATCTCGTAACAACGGGTTTGTAGAACTGTTTTTGTGTGAATACATATCAAACAATTTATTTTTTTC